ACAAACAGACAGAGACACAGACAGACAGAGACGAGGACACCCCCACACAGCGTCTCAGTGGATCCTCACAGGTGCCTGCCACCTCACCTGTAGTTCTGCGATGGTCACCTTGTGGTACATCTTCTCATCGTCTCGTTTCTGGTCCTGAGGGACGGTGATGTTGGCGAGCGCTGTCTCAAACTCCAGAATCTGCTGCATCTGAATGTGGGTGGAGCTCCTCTCGCCACCCAGCAGTATCCCCAGCTCCACCATGTACTCCAGGTACGCCACCAGCACCTGGCAACAGCAGGGGGCGCCACAGCAAAGACACAATTTAACACATTACTTATAAAGTGTAACAATCTAAATAAACATCTTGAGAATTCTTACCTTCTCATTGGCCGTCTTGTTGAGGTAATAGTCCCTGGATGGCAGGAAGAGTCCTGATTGGTCGACCTGCAGAGGAGATCAACATCTGATCTTTAGCCTGTGGTTTCGCTGCGTCAGAAACTTTTAATCAACGAATACTTTGACTTTTAGTTTGGTCCATGTCATGTCTGCTAACATGGAGGAGGACGAGTTGTCTGAAGGTCCAGTTCGTCAGTTACAGTCTGTCACCTGATTCTGCTACGGAGTCGGGGGTGGGGCATCAGGGCGGGGCTTACTTGTATGACGTTGCTGTTGGAGTTTTTGGGATCGGCGCCGACTCCAACGCTGAAAAAAGGCAGAGCTCTGTATGGACCAGAAACCACCTTAAGAACCTCCATGAAGTTCTCCTTCTCCCAGGGACCCGTCATGTTCCAGCCGCCGATCTGAGGAGAGAGTTCCCACATGATGATGTCACAGTTCTCAGAGCGTCCACACCAGTTTGAGCAGAACGAAGTTAGAACCACATCTTAATCCATCAGTTGCTCATGAGTCCGTAAACTTCATGAAGCTTCAAAACTAGATTTCAACTCAGTGAGTGACGCAGTTACCACGGCGATGAGGCGTGGAAGTGGTTACCTTGGCGATTAGGTCTATGAGAGGCTGAGCTCCCAGCTCCTCGATCCTCTGGGTGTTGAGACACGACAAGTAGTAAGACTGAGTCTTCCTCTCCGCCTCGCTGCTGCCGTTAAACGTCCCGTTCTCTGAGGACACAACCAGTCACACGTCAGGACAGGTGGAGGATAGGAGAACGACAGGTGGAGGACAGGTAATGGACAGTTGGAGGACAGTTGGAGGACAAGTGAAGGAAAGGTGAAGGACAGGCAGAGAACAGATGAAGGACAGGGGGTGTCCCCGCCCATCAGTCTCCACCCGCCTGTCTTACCCAGCAGGTGTTTGAGCAGCGCCTTGTTCTGCTCTGAGATGCTGTTGAAGGTCGACCAGCGCGACCGTCCGTCCGGCAGCGGGTTCTTCCTCATCCAACCTCCGCAGGAGAACTGGTAGAAGTCTTGACAGGGGTCGACGCCACGGTCCATCGCCTCCACCATCTGACTGGCTACTGTGACGCACACCTCCGACAGGCAGAGGCCACGCCCACTGTCTGCATAGCATCATGGGAGAGAAAGATGGATACATCACACACTCTGATGTCTCGACCAATGAGCCGTCAGCGAGGAGGCAGAGAAGCAAAGGAAGTAAAAGGAAAAGAGACAAAGGGAAGGAAGGGATGGGCTGAGAGGGAGAGGAGGGTAAGGAAGTGAAAGTAGAGGAGGAGGAAAGGAGGAGGCTGACAAGGAAGGAGAGAGGTGGAGAAGGTTAAACTGTGGGAGGAAGGGAAGGCAAGACATGTTGGGAGGAGAGGATGTGTAGAGGACGTATAGAGGAGGAGGAGGTAGAGGAGGAGGTAGAGGACGTATAGAGGAGGAGAGGAGGAGGTAAAGGAAGATGAGAGGATGTGTAGAGGAGGAGAAGTGGTACCTGAGCTGAGTCCGAGGCCGAGCAGCAGCAAACACACGATCAGAGCGAGAAGAGCAGCCAATAAGAGTAGAGAGAGAAGAAGCTCCAACTGTGTCCTCCTGCTGAGGACGTCCACACCTGTCTTCCTGAAACCCACCTGAGAGACAGACAGACGGAGAGAGAGAGACAGAGTCTGAAGGAAGAGCAGGACACCTGTCCTCCTCAAAGCCTGAGGGTTTAGAGTGACAGCTTTATAAATCTGACAGGAAACTAATGAGCAGCATTAGCAAAACACACACACACACACACACACACACACACACACACACACACACACACACACACACACACACACACACACACACAGCTATATTGTGTTGGCCCTCCCTGTGGGCGGTCTGCTGCGTTCACTGACCTCCACTCTGTCAGGAGACGAGGCTGCATCAGCTGGAGCGTCCGACACGTCATCCTCGTCAAATGTAGCTCGCTTATAGCTAGACATCTGCAGGAGAGACAGACAGAGAGACAGTCAGAGAGACAGACAGAGAGACAGACAGAGAGACAG